CATAGGAAGGGAGATCCATACGACATTGGCAATTATCGCCCAATTTGCCTGTAACCTAGAAACTCTTCACACAAGTCATAATCAACAGGATTGGCAGAATATTAGATGAAGGGGAGCCATACGAGCAAGCACGGTTTCGGAAAGAGTTCAGTACAATGGATCACATTCACACCGTTATAAGGCTCATTGAAGTATCGCGGGAATACAGAATGCCTTATGTCTTCATCGATTTGAAGGTAGCCTTTGATACCTTCAAGAAAGAGGCGGTAATCCAAGCCCTGGGCAACCAGGGTGTCCCTACTCAATATATAAGGATGCTCCGTGAGCTCTACAACAATTTCACAGCCAGGATCTCGCCATTCCATAAAGAATTCATCATCAACTTGAAGAGGGGGGTTCGACAAGACGATACCATCTCGCCCAAACTTTTCAGTGCCTCTCGAGATCGTCATGCGTCATGTGGAGCTGGGAGAGCCTGGAAGTGAGGGTCGACGGCCGCTACTTACATCATCTCCGCTTTGCAGATTAAATTGTGCCTATAACACTCAACATCGAGCTGCGGAACAAATGCTGGCCGAATTCGACAACGCTTGGGAAAAAATCGGCTTGGTACTGATCTTAACAAAGACGATGCTCATACGAAACGGATTGGTACCTGATGCTCCTTTCATGCTGAACGGAACGAATATCTCCGAATGCTCTAGCTATATCTATCTAAGTCGGGAAGTCAACATGATGAACGACCTAGCTCCGAAGCTGAGCAGACGGAAACGCGCGGCGTGGGGAGCATTTAAGAACATCGAGGGAGTAGTGAAGAAAACGAAGAACATCCACCTCCGCACTCACCTTTTCGACACTGCGGTCCTTCCTGCTTTNGCAGTTTGCGTCATTCACCGCGCTGTGAAAAGGACGATGCTCGGGATTTCCTTATACACGCAAGTGCAGAAGGGAATCCGGAGTTCCAACTCCGTCGGCGATCGAAGATCAGGGATGCCGCTGGTCACGCCAAGAGATCGAAGATCAGGTGGGCCGGACACGTTATGCGATATAGTGATGACCGTTTTACCAGGGCCGTTACGGAGTGGATCTCTTGGGACGTCAAGCGAACACCACGACGGCCGCCAACGAGATGGTCGGACTTCTTCACGAAAACTCTGGACGAAAGGAATGTTTTGCCCCATGTCCCTCGAGCGAGTGCGATTCACTGGACTACTGTGGTTCGTGACAGAGACGAATGGAGACGTTACTGGCGCCCGCTCGAGGAAATTGACGATCAAGTGGAGTACAGGTGATACAGGTGAATTCACACAAAATTTGGAACCACTTCGATTTCCCTCGATTTGCGAACAAATCATACATCTTCGCTTGCTTGCATTTTCAGCGTTCGCAACGACGAACTCACTTTATTTGCTCTTTCCATTGCTGGTCGTTGATTTGACAAAATCATTCAGATGACATGAAGCAAACAATACTAATGATAAGCACAATTTAGCAATGAATTTGTATGGGTATCTTGAAACCTTGCTGCCGTACCAGAGGCAGCAGCCAATTATTTGTTGGTTTCATGAAATCTCTACATCTATGATCCACTTAAAACCCAAAAATCACCTTTACTCAGCCAAGTTAACTTCACTGATTGGTCATCAATCTGGTACCATATGGGAATATCCCACTGAGTCCTGAAAGTGTGATCACGGCGGTGTAATAAACCTGGCTAACAAAGCATGCTAAAATTGTTCACCTTTGCTTCAAAGAATCATCCTCCATGGGTTTTCCATCCTTGTCTTCTCTGTTCGAGAATTGAGTAATTTCAAAAGTAGAGGAGTTGAGAGCATGCACTGTTACAATTGGAAACCCCACCTAAATATAACAAAGAAAATAGTTGATAAAACCAAACATTTTTTGCTGCTACTTGATATTTCAAGGACTATATACTACTACTTCTTTGAAGAAATGGAGCAACAAAAGCTACAGGACTGCTGAATGATGGTCCCGGTCTACTGCGGTTGCCGCCGGGGGCGTACGATTCACGCGTGACACCATTAGAGCTCTTCGCACACGCAGCATCGTTTCGGTACTCTTCGTTGGAACGGACCAAGTAAGATTTGCAGTAGTCCATGGCTTCACCGTGAGATACTACAAATCTGTTTACTATGGCAATGAAGCCTCTTCAATATTAAGAATTCACTTCATAGGTAAACAATTTACTTGTCAATTGTTCAAAATCGGAGAAACTTCGAATTTTTTGATACTAGAAGATGCAATCCTTCTGTAAACGTGCATAGTTGGTCATTTTTTTACTAATGTTTTCTACGTACTTGTTTCTCTCATTATGATGGTAGACATGATGTTACAGCGCGTCTCGTCCGATGACGTCATTATAATGACGAGTAAATCGCACCACACCCCAAACGTAGTCAACATACAACAGGAACCTCCGTCGTTATTACATCCAAACGGTCTAATGGTATTCTTGTACAGCAAAATTTGAAAGTCATTAACCTTCACACAAAACGCTCTATTCGAGGCCAAAAAGTGGCCCAGGGCTAAGAAAAAATATTTTCATAACCATAGGCTCAATATCATCTCATTACGGCAATACGTAGTAGTCGGTTTGTTTGACTACATAAGGTGGTCGTATCAGTGTTGTACCATGGCTTCACGGCAGTCATCTTATGCCAATTCAAGCTCCTTTGCCAATCCATGGACGCTAGAAAATTTAAGACGGCTACATTGTATTGAGTACACACTCACATGAAGGTGATAGTGTATTGAAGAAGTAAATCACAACTTCCCCCTGTTCTGGCTGAGTCAACAGGCATGTGAGGTTTAACCCGTGCTCCGTACGTTGACTGTCAACTGGTGCAATATCTGCATACCAATTGGGCTATGCCCACTACCGCTTACCTGCGACTTGTTAGAGGATGAATATGAAGTATCGGTTGACTTCCCGCTTTGTGGGTATTGATCTCTTAACATAGGTGGCGGTGGAAATGCTTTCATTCTGACCTTCTCGAGCTCCTAGGGTTTTGATTGTCCTGCGTCGTGGGAGGCAAGTTGTGATTTTCAGTCTGTGACGTAATAAATAGACTGAATATTGACCAACGGACCGATATAAAGGGTATCAGTTGACTTTCCATTTCGTAACTGTTCTCTCACCGCTCTTGTGATCTTCACGCTCTTGATCGTGCCTACGTGACTTTTGAGAAGACACACAAACGGGCATACAAACAGACAGGCAAAGTTAGCGCTTTATATATAGAGAGGATATGTAAATATTGCATTAGAAATATATATTGTGCAATATAGTTGCACAGACACAGTAGTTTAGCACGAGACTTGACAACTCGTACTTGCGTCTGTATTTTCCCATGCAGCCCCGAGGTTCATAAAACTGAGTCTCTGTTGATCAGACGTGACCTACTGGTTGTGCCCTTCGAAATGTCCGTCAAAACCGTATCAGTTCTATTCAAGGACCACTTCCGTAGTCAGAAACACGGCTGCTCGCCTACTTGGCATTAGTGAGGAGCACCGTTGTCGTGGATGTCGCCACAAATGATCATCTCGGAGATGTCCAGTGATAATCGCGTACTAAAAGTCTCCTGTCGCTCTAGGAAACCCGAAGGACAAGCTTAGGTGAATGGACGTAGGGTCTACCTGAATCTACCTGAGTGGAGGCTGCCTATTGGTCAGAAAGTTGACCATAACGAGATTCTCGGAGGCAGAGACGAACAGAATACTGTGTCATTCTAAAGAGGTTGGTTCAACCACAAAGGTAGAGATTATATTATTCGGTGCCAGTCTGCTCTAGTACGACCACTGCCTAAGACGTTCCAGTAGTAGTATTGTCCGGTTCTCAAAAAGAGGAGAAAAAGAGCTGCCGAAAATACTAGATCTATGGCATATGAAAAAATTAATTGCTGTTAGTCTGGAAATCCTCAAACAATAGTTCTTCAAAATCTGAAAGGAAAGAAAATCGAATGTCAACCAAACGCCACTTTTTTCATTTCATCTCATCAGAAAGCATTTGTGAGGTAGTCTACACCCGATTCGTTGATTTGATCAAATTGCAGCAGACCGGAGGACTGGACTGTGAAAGAGTTCCAGTGATCAGTCTTAGGTTCCTGTTCATCCACACCGCGACCACAGAGATCTTTCCACAACACCTTCTTCGAGAAAGTCAAACAAAAATCCCGAAGATGCGCATATTTTGCATAGTCCCGATTTTTTAGATGGTCGCCATGGAGATGGAGTGAGTAGTAAGTATATTCAATTGATCCCTTATAATGTTATACAGCCCTGTAGTAATCATCCTTTTCTCAATTACCGAAAATTACAGATCCAATAAGAATGTCTAGCCTAACCTGAGTTGTCCACGGGGAGGCAAATGCTTTGAGATTCAAAGGGTTTCCATCAGGTCCTCTAGCCGTAAACTTAGTGTTTTCCAGGGACTCCCATAAATCAGTCGAACGAGTGTTGCCATAGGAAAATTTAGTGAGATAATGCTGAAAACAATAATCTAAAAAGAAAAAGTGATAGATAGGGGTACAATGGCGTTCACAGAAAGGGAAAGTTCTAAGGTATCCACTGTTCTAGAACGGCTAGAAGAGACCGGGTCTAGTGTCTAGACGAGTCAACTTTCTCGCGATTAACACGCAAAGACATTCCTTTTCGATTAAACGGCGATGAAAAATTCTGTTTAGCTAGTTCGGAACGTTTTTCTAAAATCTTCTATCATCTATTGTTTTTTTCGTTATCTGTCATCAGTAAAAATCCCGAAAAGAAGTGTATCTGTCTCTCTGACAGTCTCTGACAACTTCCCTTAAAAAAGTTGGGCGCGTGGAAGAATCTGGACGGACATGGTGTAGTGGCAAGTGGCGCACTATCGCACATCACATCCCTGTTTTGGGTTTCGGATCGATAGCCACCTGAGACAACCATGCCTTCCATCCATCCGGGATCGGTTAATTGGTACCAGAGTCGTCTGGAAGGACGAAGCAATGACTTTTACATCGACTGGCTAGTGCCCGTCATCGCATAGGCCACATACTCATTCAGCTTTCATTACGATCTCTAATGGAAGTCAAATGCAGGTGCCTATCCTTCAGACGGGACTGACATGTCCAAAGACTTCATCCTTCTATGCTTCAATGAAAATTTTGCCTCTGCCTTTGCGAAGGTACATCTCCATGAGGTTTATTCATTATGGTTGGCTATTCATGGTTGGCTTTTATGAGGAGCAGGCGCGCATTTCTGAGTGACGGTACAGAGCGGGAGATGTCAAAGAGCATCTTCAGAATTTTGCGGAATTACTGTAGATAATACATTCTACTTCACGGCATAATCTCATTTGAATGCCCAGATTTTCACCCGCCACATACACGACGCATGAAAAAAGGGACTCGGGGCAAGTACACGTGTCGGTTTTCGGGCAGCTAGGGGTCACGTGGTGCATTTTTGAAAATGGCGCCAAACAATATCAATGCAAGAGAAACAGAAGGCAAATAACTAAAACCGCCATGCAGCCGCACGCGAGTGGCGGAGGATGCTCTTTGATAGCTTCCGCTCTGTAGCACCACTCCGCATTTCTCAGCTCTACTCTAAATCTACTCGAGTAGGTAGGACAGAGCTGTGACACTTGAGCCGAGCTTCGTGCGTTTGTCAATGAGAGCTACCACCAAATGCCCCCCCCCCTATTACATGACCCAAACGCTCGAGCTCAGTCTCCTGAGGTAGCATTTTCGTTTCCATCACTCACAAGGGAAAGATACTTGGTCGCAGTGGCCATTCAAGATGAGATCATAACCCCCGTAGGTGGTTTCGAACGCTTATCTCAAATCTTTGTTTCAAATCTGCTAAACGATTCTGGGAGCAAAGTTACGGGACTCATTTCCTCCCTGTGTTATACCACTGCCCTGAACGGATCGCCGAGCCGAGCAATTATCATAACTGTGCAACGATGGCCGGGTGGGGAGTGTGGTGGACTGATAGGCAGGACATCAAGGTTTGAGTTCTTGATGCATGCGCTCGTTTTCCTTTCCAATAAAATGTGTCCTAGCTCTTGCAAAAACGTTTGTGGGGCTCATCAATGGCCATCTAAAGAGCTAACTCACATTTTTGGATTGCGGGGAACAGTGAACCAATAACTTTTTTTTACTTCTACTGTCCGAATATATACGCATATCTACCCCGAACTATCAAGATGGTGTTTCGAAATCTGCGGCAGCTCCCTGCACTTACGGTAGACGACGGTCGAATGACTCATCCGACCACAGCCCTCTTTGGGAGAGATACGGTCCATACATTCTACTGATACTGTCCAAACATTCTAGGAATCCTCTTCGCGCTATCGGAGCAATGTACAGGTTAACTGGATTGTTGAGGAAATACTTTAGAACAACAGTTCATCGCTGTGTGTCCACATTGATTATCCACTAGTTCTTGAGGCTTACGCTTTTTCGAGAAGCCCTTCCACGAGGTAAGCGTGGTGGTACGCTGGGACATGATACCGCGGCTGTACTCAAAGTCCTGAATTCGCCTACGATCGCTTCGAAAATGTCCTCTATGGGTCTTCATTGTTTATTTGGGGCGTCAATCAGTTAAAATGACTGTCGTACAATTTTAGGATAAATCTTCTCAACTTTTGTATTTAATTTCCATAAGTAAACAGATCGGTCCACTTGTTTGCGCCTGATAGTGAAGACCAGATAGGACAGCAAACTGTCGAAGTTAGGTCATTTTGGAAGCTCATGGCCTCTCACATTTGCCCTTAATTTCCGCAAACGGCACTCTGTCGTGATGATAGGAAACGTATTTTTCATGTAGGAGGAAGGGCGACTTTCTCGCCACTTAAACTTTGGAAGGCTAGGGACTCTTCTACCACCCCCGTAAAATTGGAGCTCATGGGATGGTTCACAAAGTTGATGGCTACGTTTCACTTCCGAACATCACTTTTCACGAACGTACAAGGTTTCTTTCGTGAAATTACGGATCCATCTTCGATGCCATCATTCGGCGACCGCAGAGGATCTTGTGATCGCCTTTCGTGGACATGACTTCCTCGCAGTGGATAACGGGATTGTTTTCATAGCATCAAGTAGTACGGTTTGAGAGCTCTTTACTACCCCTCTTCCTAGATTGCGCCCACGTTACCCTGCAAGAACGAAAGTCCTCCATCAAATGCGATGGCACCAACTTCGGTCAGAATATTGCGCTAGTAACATGCTGAAGAGCATTTGACCCGATGAATCATTCGGAACCGTTCTCCTTGGAGCTTCTCAAGCTCATTTTGAGCGATTGTTCAGAATTCCTCTTTTGTTCGGATGAGCTCCAACCTTATTGGGCCGGCGAGGGGCAAAAAAAAATTTCCCTGCAATACCTTTCCAGTGTTGACAGAATGTGAGATAGCTCCGTAGATGATCGATTATGAGCCCAAAAAACGTTTTGCAAGAGTTCAGGTCACATCTTATTGAAAAGCAGAACGAGCGCACTCATCAAGTACTCGAACCTTGATGCCCTGCCTATCAGTTCACTACACTACCCACTCCGCCATCGTTCCACAGGTATGGTAATTGCTCGGCTCGGCGATCCGTTCAACACAGGGAGGAAATGGGTCCCGTAACTTTGCTCCCATAATCGTTTAGCAGATTTGGAACATAGATTTGAGATCAGCGTTCGAAACCACTTACTGTAGTATACATCTCATCTTGAATAGCCACTGCGACCTAGTATCCTTCCCTTGTCAGGCGAGCTTTACTTTCTTTTGTAACAGACCAACATTACAGGTCCTAAGTTGCCACTCGTCTACAGTTTGATATGGCTCTTCATCCATGTCGCCCACAGTCACCGGAAAAATTCAAAAGTATAAGATAAGTTTTCAAGAGAAAGTGCCTCGTTTTTCATGACTACTGTCTACGAGTTTTCAGCGGGGGTACATTGGTATCAAATGCCGAAGTCATATACGTATACACGGCCCAAAGACCGGATTCAGGTACCGGCGCCGACCAGCCAAGCACATCTTTAACACGTTGACGACGATGTCGGTCAATGGTGACCGACAGTACTGTAAATCACCCAAGTGAAGAATTTTTGTTTAATATTTTACATTTACTTATTTACTCACTAACCTTGGCGCCGACCCATGATCCTTCAAAACCTAAGGTTTTTATGGAAATATTAAATATCGAGTCAGGAGTCATACATCATATCAGATAGCCATTAAAATTTTAATTCCTTCTAACAATTGGCGCCTAACCTCTAATCTTGTTCCCGCCAAACCTTTAAATAGTGCCTCCTATGAATGTTCACCAATCAAAGCTTCATACACCGAAATGGTCTACAAAGCCCCATGTTTTGGAAAATTCATCCAAATTTTAACAGAACACAAGTTTTTCTTTTGTTTCCAAGAGTTTTTACTTGTTTCACACAAATAATAGCTTATTACTTATGAATACAGTGAACTAAATTTGGTTTCTGCTCCGTGGGACCATTTCTGCCAATGGTGACCGACGATTAGTCAGCGCTTTCAAACGGTCTCGTCGTCAACGTGTTAAAAATGTGTGAATTAGTATCAGAGTTGTATAAGAGCCAAAACAGTGATTTTACATCGGCTGACCGCGTTTGGCATTTGCGAGACATTTCCTTCTTACAGTGCTCTTGATGAGTAGACCTCAGAAAATCTCTTTTGTAAGAGAGATGAGACGCTGAGTAAAACTTGTACTGGATTCGGTAGTAATTGATGGTATTCTTACGCTTATAGCAAGCCACGTGATGTTCTCTTCCGACTTTGCGCGGAACTGACCTTTAATCCTTCATTGAAATTCTCCTCCCCTATCAATGCAGCAACCATGGCGATGAATGATGCCCCCTTGTCGTAATATAAAGTGGTAAACGTTCTGCCGAAATCACCCGGGTCTTTGACCTCTGGGTTCAGTGAACGCCATTCAGACCTGTCCCGTACGAGTGCGCTTTCCATTACTTCAGTGGCGATGTAATCTTTCTGAAAAGAAAGTTCTCATGTGAGCGTCTTCTATAAACTCACATACCAGTCTGTTTACGCCTCTCGTAACTTTTTCCAGTGAGATGTAGGACATATATTCTGCAAAACCTTCATTCAACCATAGCTCGTCCCACCACTTCATCGTTACGAGATTTCCAAACCACTGTAAATAATAACGACCGAGTATTCGAATAATAAAGGGACCACTGCGGGGTGTAGGCGAAGAGTATGCATTGAATCTCCTCTATACAGCTATATGGTAGAACAGCCAGGCTTCAGTAAGGAAGTCCTTCAACTTCGAAGAACAGCTTCATGAATCAAGGATGTTTCGAGACGCGATTTGTTAAATACCTTTCCCTGTCAAACGCTTTCAATTACTTGAATCCAGCCAACTTTTTATTCATCAACAAAGTTCTTAAATATTATTCTCATGATCACGGGTGGCCAAGGGTCAGATTTAAATTGTGGAGTAGTGACTCGAAAATGCGGCGGACGAAGGAGTCCCTCTGAAGGTAATTTCGGTTTTTCGCTAGCGATTAAGGTATAGTGTGAGTTAATGGTAGTTTGTTCCTTCAAAGAGTAGCCTCTCTTCGCGAGGTTTATTCACCAACCAGCATACTACCCTAGTGGGAAAGAGGAAATGGAGGAGTTATCGTACATCAATGAGTTTGCATCGCGCAACGCGCCGTAGCGGCCCAGCGAACAGCTTGCCTTGGGCATTTGAGTAATCACTTTAGAGTCCTACACAGAAATTGAGGAGAACTGAGGTTTAGCTAGCTTGAAGGAATGGAAAGAACATGACTAGATTTCGAAGTTGCAAATATAAAGAACACTGTGAGCGGGAAGCACAAGCATAGTTCGACCAGGACGACTGCCTGGAACTTGCCATCCTTTAGGCACTTTCGGGTTGCTTCCTGCCGCATAGAACTAAAAATCAACAAAACTTGAAGCCAAACTCCGAAAAATCTATTTTCTACTTTCTTCTACCAGTAAAATGACATATTTTTTCCACTGCTTCCTTTAATAACGGGATATTGCGTCTTCGAATTGCATCCACATCATGAGTCCCTACTGTGTTTCAACCTAGGTAACCAGCAAATTGGAACAAATGAATATCACTGCTGTCTAACCGCCTGAGTGACCGTTGAACGGACATCATCGCATAGCCCATCATTTGAGTTTCCGGAGGCAGATTCTGTGATGGCCTGATTTGAAGCATGACTTTGCGGTTTGGAGACGGCACATATTCAAAGACACAGCTTACGATTAAGATGGTTACTGCGATTCCCTCCTAGAATTGAACGGGTGCTCCTAAGGGTAAAACGAAGAATGAACAGGGGACGAAAAACGCAGTGGACAGGACGTAATATAAGCCCCAGTACTCAATTCACAGACGTCCATGCAAATCGACCGATGATATGCCAGACGAGTTTCGAGGCGATACACGATGCGCTATTCGCATCAGGACCCACACAACCACCATGCAATCAGCCAATTGCAGATTGGTGAAAGGTGTTTCACTCTTCTGTTATTTCCTGCTTGATGAAAAAGCTTATTTTTGTTGTTACTCGTGTTTTTGTTAGGTTATGCTAATGATTCTGAATGTATTAAATAAACATTTTGCTTACTGTAGTAAGCTGTTCGCAATGACACACATTGTATAGCTCGTCCATACGCCCCCACTTTACATCTTTACATTGGTCTTCTTCTCGTCCAGTCCGGCTTTAAGCGACCTTTTATCTATTTGGAAACACCGATTCTCGTGCCTTCCTCCATGGTACTACTCTCTGCCTTCTCTGTCATTTTCAGTCGTAATCTGGATAACCCAAAATTATCGTGAATTAGGCCTTCAACGAGTTTGCATCTTCTAGTGGCTCGGATTTTTGTATATGTTTTACATTGTGCGCTAGCGCTAGTAAAACGCTAGTTGTGGGATCCAACTAAAGTTGATGAAACTTTTCCAACCGATACATTTGTATGACCTTGGAATCAAAATGAAATCACCGCGGAGAAAACAACTTTTTATTGCACGACAAATAGAGCCCTAGGTGCCGCTGGAGTTTTCGAAACTCATTACGAATATGGGAATTGGAATTGTAAAATGAGTTTACCAGGGACGTTATGCCTGCAGAAGTTCCGTATGAATACAGTGTTTATTGGAAATGCTAGCCGAAATATCAATCAAGCATCAAAGTGAGGCAGTGCCAGTGCTTTTGCTCTTCGGACGGAGTACACCGATTTGTCTCCTACATAGCTGAAGTCTTTGCAAAGTGTTATATCGACTCCATGCAAGCTTTCGTTAGCTTCGTTGAATTCAATCTAGCAAGCGCCTCTATTCGGCCTCTACTTACGCTCGTTGCAGTTGTGTAAGAGAGATCGCATTCTGTTTGATTTTTAATATTGACACAAATTGGATACACATCGTTCTCATACAAAGTATGCAAAGCAACTTGACATTGATGGGATAACTCAAAAACAAAATAAGCGAAACAGAGAGTTTGTTCACGGGCACCGTATAGATTCTGCAACTAGCAGCAACAAGCTAACAACAATCGGCATACGACGCTCACCAGGATAAATGTCATGAAAAGTTGCTACAGATTTTATTGGAACGGAAGAACGTTGCCTAATGGCATCGAGAGACGATGAGCAGATGTCGATGCACGCGTCCTTCGCCTAAAGAGGGAGATCCATCCATTACGCCACGTTGACGCTTGACACTGGTGTCCTGACTGCGCATTTCCGATATGCACTTTTCTCAGATGGACTTTGAGCAATCACAACTCACTTGGTGGACTCAACCGGCAGTTTTGGTTTCCTCACTTGTTAGCGTTCGTGAGAGGTATTCAAAACTTCAAATTTAGCTTTGAAAACATTGCCGCTTTCTTCCACTTTTTCTTGGTTTCCGGCAATCCTTAGCCATGGTTAAAAATCTTCTCGCCTGCGTTTTATCCGCAAATTCTTTACTATCACTATTCTTTACTATCACTTCCCATTTCTTCCCAGTGTCTGGCCTTTTCTCATACCAGTAGAAGGGTGAGTTGGCCGGTTTAGTGAAAAATCTTGTTTACGATCTGTCGCAATATTCCCCGATCCCAAAGAAGAGCTGCACACCACAGTCTCCAACCACGCCTGAGTTTGCTGTGCTTTCTCAAAAGTACTGCATACCGATAGTAAGCATCCCTCAATTGCGAGGAAACTTTACGATTACAGCTAAACCCCGTGGAACGCAAAAGACTAAAAAAGGGTACACTTTTGAATCTGAATAACACAGGTTAATGACTACAATATTTTATAATAACTAAGAATAGTTCTGCTAGCATATTTTTCCTTTCACTTTCTCTAGAATAAAAAAAGAGAAAAAGAACCTGATGGGAAATTTCGTGTGCTACTGTTGTCGCTACCTTGTACTTGTTTATAAGAGGACTGAACAATTCGCTGTACAGGAGAGAATGTGGTCTGGAAAAGGGATTGCTTCTTCCCAGGAAACTAGGTCGTCAACCTCCTTAGTATAAGAGCCGCTCACCGAAAAGTCAGTAGTCCCCAATTTTCCATCGCACCGAACGCGTTAAACGCAATCATATCTGAAATTCGAGATACTGTACAGCATCAGCAATATCAGTCAGATGACTTTTTGGACATGCCAATCTTACCTAACTTTGGTAGTGGATATTTGATACCAGTGTAGTTTTCGAGAAAATCCAAGCATTTGACACCTATATTAACTGAGTACGGAGCCGCATTAATTTCTCCTGGAGTTGCCCATGATCGAATCTAGAGAATAAAAGAGAATATCTAAGAACTCTGATCAAAGCCAAAACAAAAAACTATAAATAATGAGGACTCCAGAAATTGTGTAATATGAAGGAACATTTAAGGATTTTTTTTCATCCCAAGTCTTAGAATGAATGGAGCAATGGCGAAGGAGATCAAATACGTGGTCGCAAAATGATAGTCTCAATGATATCCAGCACATTTAGGAGAAAACTTTCGAAAGCTGACCTGCTCGCCTTATAACGAGCACAGAATTTTTGAAACACGTATGTTTGAAGACTTCATTGCTTGTATGTATAGTATGGTTGGTAAGGAAATCCTGCGACAAAATGGAAGTCATTTTGAGTTAGTCTCCAGAATTTTTCAGATCAATCAAATATTGCAAATATATTCAG